GAGGTAACACACACACACAGAGCTATCCACCTCGAGTTAACACACACACACACCCACAAACAGAGCTTCCACCATTAGGAACACACACAGAGACCACACACACACACACACCGAGCTTCCACCAATAGGTAAACACACAGAGACACACACACACACCCAAGCTTCCACCCGATTTAACACACACAACACACACACAGAGCTTCCACCTCAAGGGTTAACACCACACACACACACACACAGAGCTTCCACCTCAAGGTAACACATACACCCAAACACACATGAAGCAGCTGGAGCGATGCATACAATGTTTTCATATGATAAAAATCACAAAACATTCTTAGAGCAATATTTGAATTGTGGCCCCAATATCACAATACGATCAAATCTCACATTATTCCAATTCATCTCAGAATGTTTTAAATCAGTGGCATTCGCTCGTGAGCAGAAGGAGCAGAGCACATGTCCCACCTTCAGAGGACCTCTGCAGCAAGAGGACTTCCCAGCTCAGTCTTCCAAGAGACACATCTGAGTCCCCTGTGTCCCCAAAGATACACCATCTGAGTCCTGTGTCCTCCAAAGACACATCTGAGTCCTGTGGTCCTCCACGAGACACATCATAGTCCTGTGTCCTCCAAGAGACACATCTGAGACCTGTTCCTCAAGAGACCCATCTGAGTCCCCCTTGTGTCCCCAAAGAGACCAACTGAGTACCTGTGTCCTCCAAGAGACACATCTGAGTCCAGTGTCCTCCGCAGAGACACATCTGAGTCCTGTGTCCTCCAAGAGACACTTCTGAGTACCTGAGTCCTCCAAGAGACACCATCTGAGTCCTGTGTCCTCCACAGACACTACTGAGTCCTGTGTCCTCCAAGAGACACATCAGAGATCCTGTTTCCACCAAGAGACACCTCTTGAGTCCTGTGTCCCCAAAGAGACACATCTTAGTCGTAGTGTGTGTGTTCCCAAATAGACACAACTAGAAGGTCCGTGTGTGTTTGAGTCCCCCATGTGTGACGATGTGTGTAGTTCCCCCATCAATAACCTGTACTCTTTGACGATTCAAGTTTTATCACATATGTTAATCACAATTTTGTAAAGTACTGAGTTTCATCTTTAAATGGGAACTGAATTTTTTTGTCAAAACACACACAGCTTTCAGTCAGGTAACGCAAACACACACAGCTTCATCAGGTAGACGAAAACACACACAGCTAACACACGTCCTCACACACCTGAGTCCTGTCGCCATCGGCGAATCCACCAATCACAAACTTTTTACTTTATATTTTTATCTCAATTATCACTGATCTGATGAAACATACTCCAGTTTTTTTATATTCTTTATTTTCATCATGCATAGTACATTGTTTATACAAAATACAATAAAATACAGTACCGGCTTTTGGGGCGACAGTTAGTCCAAACAAAAAAAAAATAACTAAAAAAATACATTAAAAAGAGAAAATCAGTTGGTAAGCATTGGCCTTAAGCTAACCTGGCCCCCGGGTCTGCGGGGGCGACAGGCCAGAAGGTCGTGGGTTCAATTCCCACCTCTGACACCTTCTCCACCGACTCCCACTGATGACTGCTGTCGTTGTGTCCTTGGGCAAGACACTTAACCCCACTTTGCCCAAAGCCCCCACTGAAAGATCAAGGCTGATGCTCACCACTCAGAGAGCAGCCGTCCTCTGTGGACTCACCACCTGCAGAGGGTCAGTGAGATGGGGGCTGGTGCTATGAGATCGCACTTGGGGTGGCATCTAATAGACTGCCACCCCCTGACCCAGAAATGGATTAAAGGGTAGGTAAAAATGGATGGATGGATGTTAAAACCGTCTCAATGGACCACAGTAACCATCCTGTAACAAGTAGAACCCTAATCCTGCTTTTTTTCCCCTCCAACACCGGCCTTTCGATTCACGCACACCGTCCATAAAAGCCAGATTGGTGTGTGGGATTAAGATTTATGACAGCCCTAGTGAGTGGTAGATTAGCATTGTTATATATAACACTTTCATTCCAATGGTTGGATTAATCCCTCAGACAGTGTATACTCCAAGCTGTTTTTTTCAAGGCGTAATGATCACAAACTGCTTCACATTTGTCCATTGCAAACCATAAGATTGAACATTTACAGTTAACAGAATAAGCCGTCTCTCACATGTAATTAAGTGAGTAAGACTGGGTTGCGCCTGTAACTGAAACTGGATTTTATTGTCAGAAAGAATAAAAGTACTTTCGGCTCCTCCTGGCTTATCATAGTCTCTCTTCACACACATTGAAATAAGGATAGTGAAGGAATAAGCCAGACTTCAGATAGCCAAGACATATTGCACAGTCTAAGATGCTAATATAATCTTAGAAGATAGATAGATAGAAAGATAGATACTTTAATCATCCCAGCGAGGTGGAAATTCAGTTGTCCTTAATAGCAAAACGCGGAATAAAAAAGACAATACATAAAAAGAATAAAAAAAAATAAAAACCCCCACACATTTACATCAACGATGATCGTTATAAAATCGAAATTCAGCAGGGAAGAAGGATCTCCGAGTCGATCAGTCCCTGCTTTATACGTTAAGGAAACTGATCCGATCATTGCCGTCTTCTGAGCATTACAGAGTCCCCATGCAGATGGTGCCTGGAGTACAAAGGATGGCCTGGACCTTTTCTCCCCTCACCACACAACCACGAGCCCACACAGAGTCCAGTGACACCCCAACCACTGACTCCGCCCTCATAAGCCAGTTTGTCCAGCCTGTTACGGTAAATTGACCGATATACTTGTTGCCCAGACTAATGACAGCAAAAAAGAACAGCAGCCACAACAGAAGGTAAAACATAGACACACATGTGATTACACACATCAAAGGACTTCAGCCTCCACATCAAAAAAGAGCCAGGTCGGAACCCCTATTATGTATACCGCCTCTGTGCTGATGTTCACAGTCCCAATATATCATCCAGGTGAACACCTATATATTTGTATGTCGTGCACCGTTCGATGTCCATCCATGAATATTTACTTGGCATGTAAAGTGTTCTTTTTTTTTCTATGCCAAAGTAGATAGTCATTTCTTGGTCTTGTTAGTGTTTCAAGTAAGTGAGTTCATGGTGCCCCCAATCACAGAATGCAGTGATCAAGTATCCTGTACTCCTCTACCTGGATAATACTGACAATAGGCCACAATGGCTGGTGTCATCCGAAGTACTTTCTGAACAAGACAAGTGTCAAGTGGTACTTGAAGTCAGATGTATAGATGGTAAAAGAGAAAAGGAGCAAGAACCGTACCTTTGAGCCCCCAACATTACCAACTCACTGACATAATCCAGAAGTGGTGTGGCCGAAGCCTCACGCACTGAGGCCGGCCCTTCAGATAGTTAAGGATCCACGTGAATTAAGAGCCGGTCAAAACCCCTAACCTCTCCAGCTATTGTTGAGGATGTCCTGGTAGAATTGTGTCAATGCACTTGAAAAAATCAAAGTAACATTATCCTCACATATCCACAGATATATCCAGGAGGGAGTAGTCCGGTGCAGCAAATACAAATACTTATGGAGTAAAATAAAAACCAAAAACACAGTCTGGATCTATAGCCCAGTAGAAGGAACATATGTCCGGGTCCTGTGACTACAAGGTTTCTCATTTTCTCGCTCTGGTGTTTTTCAGACCGATATGAACCATGAGCCGTCTCGTGTTTGTTATTCGTTGCATTTAACAGTGATTAAAACGGATTGATTCCTACTTGTATCTGTGTATGGGATGAATCGACAGCTTTGTAAAAGTCCTCAGACATAAAAAACGACTGTGATATAGGGCGATACTGTCCTCGTCCCACCCTGAAGTGAGTCCATGTGAGGGAATCCACACCCCAGAGCATGCCTCAGACTCAGCACTGAGGACGGTCCTCTGTGATGGCCCCAGGACTGAGGGTCTGTAGGGCCCTAAAGCCGGTCTCAGACACAGTACACAGTTCAGAGGGAAGTTCACGTGATCCGGTGGTCGACCTTTGAAGCACTATGACGATTTCACCAGCAAACTCTAGAGAAAAAAAACAAATTCTGATTAACACTAGTGAGACGACTAAAATCTCCAAGCCGCCATTTTGCAGAGAGACAGACACTGATTTAGAGAACAGATAGACAGACCGAGGAAGACAGAGAGACAGACACTTAGAGAAAGATAGACAGACCGAGGAAGACAGAGAGACAGATACTTAGAGAAAGATAGACAGACCGAGGAAGACAGAGAGACAGATACTTAGAGAAAGATAGACAGACCGAGGAAGACAGAGAGACAGACACTTAGAGAAAGATAGACAGACCGAGGAAGACAGAGAGACAGATACTTAGAGAAAGATAGACAGACCGAGGAAGACAGAGAGACAGACACTTAGAGAAAGATAGACAGACCGAGGAAGACAGAGAGACAGACACTTAGAGAAAGATAGACAGGAGATAGACAGAGAGACAGATACTTAGAGAAAGATAGACAGACCGAGGAAGACAGAGAGACAGACACTTAGGAGAAAGATAGACAGACCGAGGAAGACAGAGAGACAGATACTTAGAGAAAGATAGACAGACCGAGGAAGACAGAGAGACAGATACTTAGAGAAAGATAGACAGACCGAGGAAGACAGAGAGACAGACACTTAGAGAAAGATAGACAGACCGAGGAAGACAGAGAGACAGACACTTAGAGAAAGATAGACAGACCGAGGAAGACAGAGAGACAGACACTTAGAGAAAGATAGACAGACCGAGGAAGACAGAGAGACAGACACTTAGAGAAAGATAGACAGACCGAGGAAGACAGAGAGACAGACACTTAGAGAAAGATAGACAGACCGAGGAAGACAGAGAGACAGATACTTAGAGAAAGATAGACAGACCGAGGAAGACAGAGAGACAGACACTTAGAGAAAGATAGACAGACCGAGGAAGACAGAGAGACAGATACTTAGAGAAAGATAGACAGACCGAGGAAGACAGAGAGACAGACACTTAGAGAAAGATAGACAGACCGAGGAAGACAGAGAGACAGATACTTAGAGAAAGATAGACAGACCGAGGAAGACAGAGAGACAGACACTTAGAGAAAGATAGACAGACCGAGAGAAGACGGGAAGAGAGACAGATACTTAGAGAAAGATAGACAGACCGAGGAAGACAGAGAGACAGACACTTAGAGAAAGATAGACAGACCGAGGAAGACAGAGAGACAGACACTTAGAGAAAGATAGACAGACCGAGGAAGACAGAGAGACAGATACTTAGAGAAAGATAGACAGACCGAGGAAGACAGAGAGACAGATACTTAGAGAAAGATAGACAGACCGAGGAAGACAGAGAGACAGATACTTAGAGAAAGATAGACAGACCGAGGAAGACAGAGAGACAGATACTTAGAGAAAGATAGACAGACCGAGGAAGACAGAGAGACAGACACTTAGAGAAAGATAGACAGACCGAGGAAGACAGAGAGACAGACACTTAGAGAAAGATAGACAGACCGAGGAAGACAGAGAGACAGACACTTAGAGAAAGATAGACAGACCGAGGAAGACAGAGAGACAGACACTTAGAGAAAGATAGACAGACCGAGGAAGACAGAGAGACAGACACTTAGAGAAAGATAGACAGACCGAGGAAGACAGAGAGACAGACACTTAGAGAAAGATAGACAGACCGAGGAAGACAGAGAGACAGACACTTAGAGAAAGATAGACAGACCGAGGAAGACAGAGAGACAGACACTTAGAGAAAGATAGACAGACCGAGGAAGACAGAGAGACAGAACTTAGAGAAAGATAGACAGACCGAGGAAGACAGAGAGACAGATACTTAGAGAAAGATAGACAGACCGAGGAAGACAGAGAGACAGACACTTAGAGAAAGATAGACAGACCGAGGAAGACAGAGAGACAGACACTTAGAGAAAGATAGACAGACCGAGGAAGACAGAGAGACAGACACTTAGAGAAAGATAGACAGACCGAGGAAGACAGAGAGACAGACACTTAGAGAAAGATAGACAGACCGAGGAAGACAGAGAGACAGACACTTAGAGAAAGATAGACAGACCGAGGAAGACAGAGAGACAGACACTTAGAGAAAGATAGACAGACCGAGGAAGACAGAGAGACAGACACTTAGAGAAAGATAGACAGACCGAGGAAGACAGAGAGACAGACACTTAGAGAAAGATAGACAGACCGAGGAAGACAGAGAGACAGATACAAACCATGAGCGTGCGTTTAACTGGAGCAGACTCACCCAGAAGTTGGTGGTCTCCAGGGTGGGGCAGGTGAAGAGTCGGGGGAAAACCATGTAGATGGGGATAGAGAGACCGTGGCACACGTCGCCCTCCGCACAACCTGAAGCAAACAACGAGCTCATCATCAAACCAGGAAGAATACTGCATTTAGAAGTACCATCCCGTTAGTCCTGACTAGAACCAGGAAGTACCATCACGTTAGTCCAGACTAGAACCAGGAAGTACCATCACGTTAGTCCAGACTAGAACCAGGAAGTACCATCCCATTAGTCCTGACTAGAACCAGGAAGTACCATCACGTTAGTCCAGACTAGAACCAGGAAGTACCATCACATTAGTCCTGACTAGAACCAGGAAGTACCATCACATTAGTCCAGACTAGAACCAGGAAGTACCATCACATTAGTCCTGACTAGAACCAGGAAGTACCATCACGTTAGTCCAGACTAGAACCAGGAAGTACCATCACGTTAGTCCAGACTAGAACCAGGAAGTACCATCACGTTAGTCCAGACTAGAACCAGGAAGTACCATCACGTTAGTCCAGACTAGAACCAGGAAGTACCATCACGTTAGTCCAGACTAGAACCAGGAAGTACCATCACGTTAGTCCAGACTAGAACCAGGAAGTACCATCCCATTAGTCCTGACTAGAACCAGGAAGTACCATCACGTTAGTCCAGACTAGAACCAGGAAGTACCATCCCATTAGTCCTGACTAGAACCAGGAAGTACCATCCCATTAGTCCTGACTAGAACCAGGAAGTACCATCACATTCATCCTGACTAGAACCAGGAAGTACCATCACATTAGCACTTGTCACTCCCGTATTCGTCCCGGAAACCGGATTTGTCCGGAAGTTCAGTTTGATCCAATGAACATACGCAGCAGTAGATTACGTCACAGAATCTGGACGGAAGCGGAAGTAAATATAAAAAACTAAACTTAACCAGCCATTCCCATAAATAATAACCCCAACCCAGCCTTAACCCTAAACTTAACCATCTTACTTAGACGCCTAAAACTTAACCAGTCTCCACTTAAGGACTTAAGGACACTTTTTGACATGCGCAAACTGAACTTCCGGACGAATCCGGTTTCCGGGACGAATACGGGAGTGACAAGGACTGACTAGAACCAGGAAGTACCATCACATTAGTCTTGACTAGAACCAGGAAGTACCATCACATTCATCCTGACTAGAACCAGGAAAGTACCATCACATTCATCCTGACTAGAACCAGGAAGTACCATCACATTAGTCTTGACTAGAACCAGGAAGTACCATCACATTCATCCTGACTAGAACCAGGAAGTACCATCACATTCATCCTGACTAGAACCAGGAAGTACCATCACATTCATCCTGAATAGAACCAGGAAGTATAGTCCCGAACACTATATAGTTCGGGACTATATAGTGACTGAGTGAGTGAGTGGACTCATTCTGATGGCGACTCGGACACTGCACACTATTTTCAGGCCGTGAAGCCGTACGTGAAGCGTCCCTCAGTAGCAAGTATCATGGAGTGGAGAGGGGAGCGGCCATGATGAGGTAAAGGTAAAAGTTGAATTAACATAACCTCTTAAACTCCTACATCTGTTTTGGCTCGTGCACCAAAGTTTGGCAAACCCAAATGTCTTTGCTTATTTAAAAACACATCTTACATCTCACATGCTTGTGTGATGCATCATTTTAAAGCTAGGCCCTTCTAGTTTATGTAAATATACACTGAAATAATGTATGTTATTCCTATTTTACTCTGCATCCTTTGAAGTTTGGGAAAAAAACCTGTTTTTTTAGCCTCGCCTAAAAAATTCAATGTATATATGCCCTAAAAAAGCCTACTTCATTGGAAGAAGAACATATTCAAAGCTAATTTGTTCATTGTGTTGTTGACAACAACTGTGTAAAGTTTCAGACTTCTAAGTTTTATAGTTTTTATGCAGTTTTTATTTTATCAAGTAGTGCCATTCGGTGCCATGATGTTTGTGGGGGTAAACCAGTGTGGGGAGGGTCCCAGCTCTAAAGTGGCCAAAAGTGGATTTATTTTTCTGTATTTCTACAATTACATGAAGGCAAAAAAATGGAAGTTAAACTAAAGCAGAGTCGTCACGTGTTGCGTCATTCACAACACGCTGCAGTGAAAATACACATTTGATAATCATGAATGATTATTATGTATTTGTAGCCTTTACTTTGTCATTTAGATATTAGGCTAATATAGCTAATACATCTTGCAGCCTGTGTTAACTTCATAAAAGCCTCATACAAGGCTGTTATTTTTTTGGGGCTCCAGACAGATGTTGTTTTTAGTTTTTTTTGTCAATTATGGCTCTTTGAACATTTTGGGTTCCCGACCCCTGCGCTAGCACATACACAACTGTGGTCAGCCCGACCCACAAGCGGCTCAATAAGTTAATATTCCGCTTTATTTTCTTTATGTCTTCAGTCGAACCTTTTGCCAAGGCCTCATTATATCACTAATGTGCCCCGTTTTATTTATTCGGCTGTTTAGACCCACTTTTTAGAACTTTTGCACTATTCGCCCAAGCGGCAGTAGCCTTTTGAGTTAGTTATCTTGAAACCCTTACCTGTTGCGCAACAACCCTTCCCTTGATATTTGAATATGTTTCAACTTTGTATTAAAGTTTGACTGTTTTGATTTATACTTAAAGTGCACTTTTGTTTGACCTACCTCGATACTTTTGATAGACATTAACTTTAGTGTTTATATTGTTTACTTGAATTGTGTTTTTTATCATTAAGTCCTGATGATATGTTTTGAATGTTACTGTGGATTACAATACTTACCTTACCCTGTGGATTACAATACTTACCTTACCCTGTGGATTACAATACTTACCTTACCCTGTGGATTACAATACTTACCTTACCCTGTGGATTACAATATTTACCTTGCCCTGTGGATTACAATACTTACCTTACCCTGTGGATTACAAAACTTACCTTACCCTGTGGATTACAATACTTACCTTACCCTGTGGATTACAATACTTACCTTACCCTGTGGATTACAATATTTACCTTGCCCTGTGGATTACAATACTTACCTTACCCTGTGGATTACAATACGTACCTTACCCTGTGGATTACAATACTTACCTTACCCTGTGGATTACAATACTTACCTTACCCTGTGGATTACAATACTTACCTTACCCTGTGGATTACAATACTTACCTTACCCTGTGGATTACAATACTTACCTTACCCTGTGGATTACAATACTTACCTTACCCTGTGGATTACAATACTTACCTTGCCCTGTGGATTACAATACTTACCTTACCCTGTGGATTACAATATTTACCTTGCCCTGTGGATTACAATACTTACCTTGCCCTGTGGATTACAATACTTACCTTACCCTGTGGATTACAATACTTACCTTACCCTGTGGATTACAATACTTTCTTTGCCCTGTGGATTACAATACTTACCTTACCCTGTGGATTACAATACTTACCTTGCCCTGTGGATTACAATATTTACCTTGCCCTGTGGATTACAATATTTACCTTGCCCTGTGGATTACAAATACAGACAATACCTCATTGAACTCGAATACTTTTTTTGAACTTTTGAACTATTTTTATTTACTTTTTGAAGGACACCTTTTGTTGTAATTGTATATTATAATTGTTTATTCATTAATACATATATATATTACATACCAATTTATATCATTCTATATCTGATCTATAAAAAATACTTGAATACAATTATTTTACAAAAACTGAACTTACCTATTGTGATTATTCACTCACCTTGGCTCCCTGTCGTTCCTATGTCTGATACTAACCTCGCAGTCGTTCCGCCCTAGCCCTAAAGGCGCGTTCAGACCAAAAGCTTCAAAAAGCTTTTGACGCGCTTCAACTGACGTCGGGATAGTTTTGTCATTTTGGTGCTTGAAGCTTTTGACGCAAGTGAGGCGCCTGACGCCGGTGGGAGGAGCTTCTCTGTTGTCTGTGGGAGGAGCTTCTCTGTTGTCTGTGGGAGGAGCTTCTCTGTTGTCTGTCGGAGGAGCTTCTCTGTTGCCGGTGGGAGGAGCTTCTCTGTTGTCTGTGGGAGGAGCTTCTCTGTTGCCGGTGGGAGGAGCTTTCTCTGTTGTCTGTGGGAGGAGCTTCTCTGTTGTCTGTGGGAGGAGCTTCTCTGTTGTCTGTAGTCAGGACAGCGGTGGATTTTTCAATGAGCAGCGAGCCTTTATTTGTTATATAAAGCAAAATAAACGTTGTTGTAGGGCTTCAACAAAACATGTTCTGGGTTCACCACAGACTTGAGAGGCTGCAGTGTTTGCAGAGTTCCGTCATTTACTCCAGGAGCTGTGTACGGAGGAGTTTTGCTTTCAGTGGTACTTCCGCATGTCACTCGCCCAGTCTGAGTTCTCAAACCCCGGAGCTCGCCTCTCCCTGCCTCTCCCTGGCTCTCGCCCTCCTCTCCCTGCCTCTCCCCGGCTCTCGCCCTCCTCTCCCTGCCTCTCCCCGGCTCTCGCCCTCCTCTCCCTGCCTCTCCCCGCCTCTCCCTGCCTCTCCCTGCCTCTCCCCGCCTCTCCCCCCGGCTCTCGCCCTCCTCTCCCTGCCTCTCCCCTGCTCTCGCCCTCCTCTCCCTGCCTCTCCCCGGCTCTCCCTGCCTCTCTCCGGCTCTCCCTGCCTCTCGCTCGCCTCTCCCTGCCTCTCCCCCGGCTCTCGCCCTCCTCTCCCTGCCTCTCGCTCGCCTCGCTCGCTCGCCTCTCCCTGCCTCTCGCTCGCCTCTCCCTGCCTCTCCCTGCCTCTCGCTCGCCTCTCCCTGCCTCTCGCTCGCCTCTCCCTGCCTCTCGCTCGCCTCTCCCTGCCTCTCGCTCGCCTCTCCCTGCCTCTCGCTTGCCTCTCCCTGCCTCTCCCTCCTCTCCCTGCCTCTCCCTGCCTCTCCCTGCCTCTCCCCCTCTCCTCTCCTCCCCGGCTCTCGCTCGCCTCTCCCTGCCTCTCGCTCGCCTCTCCCTGCCTCTCCCCGGCTCTCGCCCTCCTCTCCCTGCCTCTCCCTGCCTCTCGCTCGCCTCTCCCTGCCTCTCCTCCCCGGCTCTCGCTCGCCTCTCCCTGCCTCTCGCTCGCCTCTCCCTG